GGATTTAGCTCAGCGGCAAAAAGCGCCTGCCTGGCAAGCACAAGGTCGTGAGTTCGGTTCCCGGTACCAGAGAAAAACCAAAAAAAAAAAAAAAAGAAGGCCTAGAACATTAAGCCTGACTTAACTCTCCTTACTGGGACTCATTTTCTCCTTCTGTAAGATGAAGGGCTGAACTAGAACTATAGCTGGTTTTGAATTTTCACTTCTGGTATTGCCCTTCAGTTCTTGGAATTAGCCTTGGTTTCCTCTTCGCTGACTTTTGTGTGCTCATTTGTGGGTATTTCCACTTCTGGTATTCAGTGTTCTGTCTCAGTAGAATGCTAGCTCTGTGGCATGTGATTTGTTTGCTTTTTTAGAGACAGGGCCTTGCTGTGTTGCCCAGGCAGCCTCATGATCCACCCATGTCAGCCTCCCCAGTAGCTGAAACTGAGCACGCACCATTTTGTCCAGCGTACCTGTGTGACCTTGAACAAGTCATTAAGCCTTCAGCCTCTCAGCTTCAGTTTTTTCATCAGTAAAATAGAGATAATAGTATTTATCTCATTATGAATAACAGCTGTTCATAATAGCAAAAAAGTGGAAACAAGCCAAATGTCCATCAGCTGAAAGATGGATAAACAAAACGGTTTATCCACACAATGAGATATTACTAAGCAATGAAAAGTAACCAGTTACTCATAAATGTAGTTACATGAGTGAACCTTCAAACACATGTCAAAATACTCCCAGAGGGCCAGAGATATAGCTCAGCAGCACAGCACCTGCCTGGCAAGCACAAGGTCCTGAGTTTGATTTCCGGTACCTGCTGCCCCTCCACCAAAAAAAACCTCCCAAATGACCACATATATGACCTCATTTATGTTAAACATCCATAAAAGGCAAATCTATAGAAGACACAAAATTTGTTAGGCTTTCTCAGGGCACAGAATTAAGGTAGAAATGGAAAACAGCTTCTAGTAGTTACAAGCTTTTCCTTGTGGTGATAAAGATATTCTAAACTTCTGATGCTTGCCCAACTATGAATATCCTAAAAACTTTTTAACTGTATTAAATAGTTAATTGTATGGCTGAGAATTACATATTAATAAACTTTTTAAAAAGCTCTTTAGAAAACAGTAGTGATGGGGGCTGGGGATTTAGCTCAGCGGCAAAAGCGCCTGCCTGGCAAGCGCAAGGTCGTGAGTTCGGTTCCCGGTACCGAAAAAAAAAAAAAAAAAAAAAAAACAGTAGTGCTTATCTCATGTGTTGGGAGATAAAAAGAGGATGCCAGTTAAACAGTGCCCAGTACTTAGTAAGGACTTCATATTGTTTATTTGTTACTGTGACTGAAAACAGTCTCTAGAGATTCACTATGGGGAACTTTCTGGTCTCTAAATTTTGTTGTAGTTTTGTCTTTTTATAGTGGCATTTATTCTCCATGTGCCACCTTGCACCTGCTTTAGGAGATGGCTGCACCCATTCAGCACTGCTACCCAGAGAACTGCTGGTGAGGACTGCAGTTCTGAGGACCCTCCGGATGAGCTTGGGCCTTCTCTTGCTGAACGAGCCTTAAGGTTAAAAGCTGTTAAACTGGAGAAGGAAGTCCAAGATTTAACAGTGAGTAGATTTCATGTTATCTATCCTTCACTTCCTTTCTGTGACTTAAATATCCAAGTAAAGTCTTTATGTCCATTTAAAAATGAAGTTTCCTCTGGGCAGAAAGAATCTATAGTAATTAAAAGTCACTGACTGAAGACAGTCATCTCTTTTTAGTTCCTTGTTGTATCACAGTAATTATACATCTGACATTTTTGCAATTTTAAGGAGGTACAATACCTGGTAGGTGGTAGACACTCGCTAAATATTGGCTGAATGTGTGAGGTCAGTGCCCGTTGTACTCTGCTGAGCAGACCCCATCTGGTATAGGATACATCTCGAGTTGACACTGCTTGCAGGAAATGCATAGATAAACCAGAGTCATGCGAAAGTCCAGTCTTACTTGGAGTGATATGAAGGATAGAACGCATGATGAGAGCAATTAAAGGAACCAGGAATTCTAAGAATGAAAGTGAAAAGGACTAAAAGGGCTAAAATAAGTACTTACAAATAGATGACACACTTGTAAAACTTAATCTCAGTTCTGGGGGTAAGTCAGTGAAAGAAAGTTGGAGAATAGTGATGCTAGCCAAATGTGAAAAAGAAAACTGTTCTCAAGATGATGAGCTGGAAAATTACTGTGTTGAAACTAGCAGGCTAAGTGGCTACTTACCAGAGCTGCTAGAGTGAGTTCCTGCTTTGGCTGGGGATTTGGAGTGGCTGATGTAAGATTTTTACAATTTGTAGTTTGCTTTATAAAAAACACATCACAGAAGTGAAGTTTAGAAAAGAAGTGAAAAGGAGAAGCATTTGTTTTCTCATCCTTTTGATTTTACTTTTGATGTTCAGCTAAGATACCAGAGAGCTGTAGCTGATTGTGAAAACATCAGGAGACGGACCCAGAGATGTGTGGAAGATGCCAAGATATTTGGTGAGATATATATATTCATAATAAAATTTATTTCAGTCAAAGGGTACATACTTAATAGATCTGCCAACTGAACATAATAAAAGTATATCTGAGTCCTTAGCTGATCCCTCTTCTATCCTTCCATTCCCTTAGGCTTTCTGTGCTCCCTTAACCATTTGCTAAAATAATGTTGACTTTTCTTTTAACTAAACTTTTATTTTCTAAGCATATACAGTTACTACAGTTCTAACATTCTAGTGCTTATGCAGATAATTCTGTTTAGCTAATTAATGTGAACCATTCAGAGGAGAATCTAAAGAGCAGACAGAAGGATAGTCAGGAATGCTGAAATTTGCTTAATGGAAGTATGATTGGTCTATATATCCATAGGGCAAAAACCAACTGTATCTGCACCAGACAGTTTTTACACCTATAAAGAATCCTTTGCTTTACTGTCGATAATCAGATTTGGTATATAACTCGGTGAGTTATAAAGTAGCTTGAAGGGGAAGATGAAGAATTCATCTTAGATCACAGAATCAGATAACTTAAAAGACTGTGCTGTACCCCGTGTTCTTTTCATGGAAGAAATGTAATAGTCTTTCAGAAATTTTTCCCTAACCGTACCACATCTGGTTCCAAACATTTTTGAGAAAGTGTTAGTTGAATAACCAGGATTTGGGGAAAGGAGCAAGTCTGTAATTACTTGCTGTACTTTGAATTTAATATGGAATGTTGTACTTTGTTACACTGTGCATAGAATGGAAGTGCTTGAGATCCCTGGGTGTTATCTCGTCCAATCCCTGTTTCACATTTCCTTCTGTTATCTGGATTCAATCTGCTCTTTGTGCACAGAATTACCTTGTGGACAAATTTGTCATGCTCTACTGCCCTGTCCCATTTTGGTGCTTTGGCATAGCCTCTGCTGTTCACTCAGGGCTTTATACCTCACGCTTTCAGTGTCAGTGGAGTACCAAGCCCCAAGTTGTGTTCCTGATACTTTAACCAAGTTTTAATCTCTCATTTCTAACTTTATAGCAGGACTCAGCAAAGTGTAGCCTGCCACTAGTCTGTAGTTTTGAATTTCATCTTTTAAAATTCATGGAGATTCTTTTTCTCTTTTGTTATATAATCACCTATATAAGACCCATGATTTTGCCTCTTGTCCCATAAAGTCTAAAATGTTTACTGTATGGTGAGGAAAAAGTTTCTGCCCTCTGAGCAATAGAAATGTCTACCAAAAGCAGGCTCATTATGATAACATAGAGAGACTTTTGCTATAATTCCCACTTGAGCAGAGAGAGTAGGTAGACTTTTTTACTGGGAGTTGAGCTTTGAATCAGAATTAGCTTATTATGTCAGTTTATTCAAGAAGTTGTAAAATTTCCAGGAATAAATCCATTTTAAGTTTTTCTCACTTTGTTTGGGAATTGACTCAGGACCTTGCGCTTGCCAGGCAGGTGCTTATGCTGCTGAGCTCTCAGCCCTAAATTCAGTTTAAATTCAAAATAATTTGATAGTTAATCTGATTTATTAACTTACAGCAAAAGATGCCACCTCAGTCACTTGCTTACGTAATTTCCTCCCAGTGGCCAGAGTATTTAGACAGTTAAAGGTTACAGAGTGAGTATGGAGGTAGAAGGAAAGTAATTGCTTGTTTTTGGTTTTTGTGGTACTGGTATTGATCTCAGAGCCTTTACACTGAGCTGCCTCCCCAACCCTTTTTTTATTTTCTGTTTTGAGGCAGGTTCTCACCAAGTGCCTAAGTTACCCAGGTTGGGCTCGAACTTGTAATCTTCTTGCCTCAGCCTTCCAGAGTGCTGGGGGATTACAGGTATGCACCACCACAGCCAGCTAGTAGAATATGTTTAAGGCATATAGCATGACAATTCTGACTTTCCAAGATAGCTTTGTCTCCATAATATACCTTTTTGGTCAGTTTTCTAAGAGATTATGTGGTCACCATCAGTCTGTTACCATAATACAATAATTAGAAAAGGATCAGAAACTTGAGTGCTTATCTCACAGGCAAGAGAATGTAGGCTTCTATGTAACCTTCACAAACTTTACTGAGTAGAAGCAAGGTCTCTGTACCTTGGCAGGGTACAACCCAGAAACTTACGGCTTTTAAAATTCTTTGAGAAGGCTTGAGGATGTAGCTCAGTGCAGAGCACTTGCTTAGCACACGCAGAGCCATGGGGGTAGGTGTGCTCCCCAGTGCCACAAAAGAAAAAAAGTCAAACGACCAAACTTCATTAGCAACCGAGGCTTGTTTTCTAGAAATGCCTTCTGGTTTCACTCTGTCCTCTTTCACCCCGGACCAAATCATCCCATACCTAGATTACGTCAGCTGGCTCCCCTGTTCATTCCTTCGAGTCCTGTTCGTCATACCCCCCCCATCCATTATATCTGCTGTTATTCTAGCTAATTGGAAGCAGGCTTCCACAGATGTTTTTTCCAAGAAGCCTTAGAAGATCTGTTAGTGCCTGGCAGTTAAAGGTAGAATTCCTCCCTCCCCTTGAGTCATTCTTTCCCATGTAGGCAGTAAGTCTTCCCAGATCTTTCCTCTGTCATATCTTATTGCTTACCTAAGACTGAGCCTTCTTATCTCTGAGTATGGTTAAGGTGCTAGTTATCTTGGCACAGGGCCGTAAACCTGTCCCTAGATTAACAAAGTCCTTGCCCCTCACCAATCCCCACCAACTATTGTATCATAGACATCTCTACTGACGGCACTTCTTATCCTCTCTCTATAAGAAAAATCAACTTGAAACTGGAAAGAATGGTGTTTCTTAGTAACTGAGCTTGCTTCTATCTTGTAACGTTTCATCTGATTCAGAAAAGTTTTGTGACCCATCTCTGCCAACTTCATAGCAAAGTAGTTGGAGATAGCTTATCTAAATGTGTCTTGTCTTCCTGTTGTATTTAGCCAGTCTTAAGAATAAACCACCCTTCGACATTCTTAATACAGTGTTGCCTTTTTTATTGCCATCCCCTCCTACCTCCTATGAATTGGTAACATCCTGTCCGCATTGAAAATATGGCTTTGGCACAAGTGACACAGGCAGGAATTTTTACATGTTCATAGCTTAATACCAAACAACAAAAATACAAGAAATAAAAACATAGTAATTTTGACAGGGCAGGTTCTTTAGCTTATTATAGGTAAATTTAACCTCGTTCTTGGATTCTAACCCTCTACCCCATTTCCTGAAGGGTCCCTGGTCATACATCCCTTCTGAAAGAGACTGACTTGTCATTTGGGTTGGGGTGGTAGGCGATAGTGATCCCCAAACCCTGTGTGAGTGCCTTCCCACTTTCTGGAGTACCAGGGTAAAGTATACTAACAATCTATCTAGACCTGCCCCGATTCCACCCCTAAAGGCAGAGTGATTTCCTCATAAATATGCGTCTGGTTTCTCTGTAGGAATCCAAAGTTTTTGTAAGGACTTGGTGGAGGTGGCAGACATTTTGGAGAAGACCACTGAGTGCATTTCTGAAGAAACAGAGGCTGGGGACCAGAAGCTCACTCTGGAGAAAGTCTTCCGAGGGTTGTCGCTTTTAGAAGCAAAGCTGAAAAGCGTATTTGCCAAGCATGGTCTGGAGAAGATGGCACCCATTGGTGACAAATACGATCCTCATGAGCATGAACTCATCTGCCACGTGCCAGCTGATATTGGGGTACAGCCTGGCACCGTGGCTTTAGTCAGGCAAGACGGCTACAAACTTCATGGCCGCACCATTAGACTTGCCCAAGTGGAAGTGGCAGTGGAGTCTCAGAAAAGACTATGAGCAGGCCCTCAGGAACAGAATGTTCTCCGAGAGTGCCGTCACCTGTGTTTCCTTTATTTATTAATCTAGGTTTGTATTGTACATGAGGTACTTCATGTGATCTGTTTTGGATATAGTCATATTGGCTTTATTTCTAAGATACTCTGTTGATTTTATGTGACCCATTTGATCTCATGGGAGGTCTTACCATCAGGCATCTGAACAATGTGACAAATGTTCCTATGGCCTTTATCAAACTATGTTTACAAAAATTATTTTTAAATTGGTACTCTGATTGACTTTGAATCCAAAATTCTCTAAACTATATATCTTCAACTAATTGTTGAAATTAGTACAATCTCTTGTATTTTTTGAAAAAAACAAAAAAAAAACAAAAAAACAGTAGAGATTGATTTAACATGTGGGTACTTAGCTTTACACTTACATAAAAATTTAGATCACTTGGGTTGATTTTTATATGCATGGATGCCCAGGCCTTCCCTTCTTATTTTATTACTTTTCAAGTAATCATCCTTTGTGGTCCCTACTAGACTTTGTACTTGGATCCTTGTTCCACATCCACCCCTTTCCAACTCCAATTGGAAGAGCTAACAGGTCAGGCTAGACTTGGGAACAGAGAGCATCAAGCAGTTCAAGATACCTCCCTTTCAAATAGAGAATTATTTTCGGCCTCCCTAAATATATCATAATTTCAGGCAAACTGAGGCAGCACCAACAGCTAATGACCCAAATGGGTCTGTATTGATAATTACCTATAACTGCCCATTCCACCAGCCCCAATTCTGCATTTTTGTCAAATTTGCCATGGAATACATATTGGATTATGAAGGGAAGGTGATCTGGACAAAATCCTTAGGTTCCCTCAATTTCTCATTTCTGATTGTTTGGTTTTGTTTAATTGGTACTCACAAATCACTACCTCTCTTGCACTGACAAACTTTATTATTTTGTTTTTGTGGTGCTTGGAATCAAACCCAGGGTCTTCTACGTGCTGTGCTCCTGACTTACTTCTCTAGCCCTGACAGCTTTATTTCCTAGGTTCTGTATCCATTTTATGTTGCATTTGTGTAAACGTCTAGTTCCCTTTTTAGGGATTAACCTCTGGAAGATAATGGACCTATGTATCTTTTTCAGTCTTACTTTATAGCTGGTGTTGTGTAAAAGCTATGTCCAAGAAATGACTAAGTGGATGAATAACCAGTCAGATGTTAGAAAGGAATCTTTGAGGTATTTTAATTTTAGAAGAGGCCTTAGTCTAATTTTATCCTTCCTGCTTCTGAGGTATGAGTTTCAGTCTTTTTTAGGGCTGGATCTAAAGGGAAAAATGTCAATAATAACTTGAATAGCGAACAAATAGATATTCAGTCATTTAAGATTAATATACATGCAAATATGTCTCCAGCAGCAATTAGTTGTTGGATATATAGATTGTATAAGTTTAAGTTTGTTACCCATAAAGTTCCCTTCCCCTGGAACTCCAAAACCCTATAGGGAAGCAAACTGGCTTTCCAAGTTTCCTTAAATAGGCTCTGAATTACACCAACATAAAATGGGGACAAACATAGTTCATTATTACATAGGTATGCGTATGAGTCCCACAAAATAAGACTCAAAGGAGGGCCAGATAATTGAAGCATATATGGCATCCTGAACTATAGAACTAGTCTCCTACAGTCATATTTTGGGGTTGTTAGTTATCCTCTTAGACAAGTATATATAAATATAAGATACTACACAGACATGTCAATAAAGACATCCTCTGTAAATATTGCCATCTCCCATCAGGTTTTCAAAAAAGCAAATGGAGATGGGGGTATAACTCGGTATAGAGTGCAAGGGCTGGAGGACATGGATAAGGAAACGTGCACTTTTAAAATATAACCAAAAGATTCTTTTGGACTTCCTACTAAGTGCATACTGTAAATTTAATGAGCGGTCAAATTTACAATACAAATTCATCCTTTTTTGCCTTAATTTTTATCAGATGGCCAGATGATGACAACAAGAAAATGACCCAGTTAGCCATGTGGGCTTTGGGATTACTAGTTATCATTATCGAAGAACTGGAATTAACCATAATTTTATGTGTGAAATGTTCTGATTACCTGAAGAGTTTTCTAAGATTTTTCACCTCCTGTTTTTGGAAGTAGACTGAGAATAATTTTAGGTTCTTCTATTGTTCAGTAGTTTTGAGAACTTAATGTGCATGTTTAGAACTAGAAGATAAAGGTATAATAGTAAAAATGTCAAATTGAAGGGCTTTGAGGAGCCAGAGCATCATGAGGCTTGTTAGGCATAGATTTGAACATAAATTCCAGCTTGGTCACCCGTGTAACTTTGGGTGCCAGTCATTTCACTCTTCTAAGCTTGTTCATAAAATGATTACAATAATTCTTTCATGATACTGTGAGGATTAAACAAAATGTTTAAGTTGCCTATTACAGTAGGCCTTCATATTTATTTTTATTGTTTTTTTATGCACATTTGTTCGGCATTTTTATAGCTGCCTAAAGTCTAGGGAAAGGGGAAGACTCCGTAAAAGCAGATTCTTTTTTAATAATTGTAGGCTAATCATTCACAGTGACTTATTTTCCTTCCAGTTCTTGTTTTTTGTTTTTTTATCATACCTCCCAAAATTTTTTTAGACTGAAGAAGCAAGAAAATTGTGCTCATGCTTTTAATTATTTTCATCTTTATACATATGAAGTGAAAGGACATTGGCTTGTAGGTGCCATGTAAGAAAGCTTTGCCTCACTTGAAGAGGGGATTTTGGAGTATTATTAGTACTTATATCCTACAAATCTTTTGCTGACTTTGCTTACGTCATAAAGGAATCACTTTGGCACTGATGTTAAGGTTTTATATTTGGTGCTCTTAATTCATGACAAAGGATTTGAAAACAAAGGTTCTTAAAACACTACAGCAAAGATAAACAGGGAAAACTAAGGCTAAAATATAATATTCAGAAACAACTAATAAAACCCAAATTGAAATAACTGCAGTTCAAGTGGGATTTTTTTTATTTGTAGTTCTGAGGACCAAACCCAGAACCTCTCACAGCTAGGAAAATGCTGGACCCCTGATCCACAGCAAGCAGCCCCAGCTCCTGTGTTTAGAGGCTTTGCCTGCCTGTTTCAAAATGTATACTCTGGGGCTGGGGATATAGCTCAGTGGCGCAGGCACCTGCCTGGTAAGCACAAGGTCGTGAGCTCAATTCCTGGTACCAAAAAAAAAAATGTATGCTCTGTTGACTGCTGCTCCTCCCTGGGGGTGCTCAGGAAAAGTACCTTGAAAGCTCAGCACAGCAAAGTGGGTGCCATATGTGTTTTCCATACCCTACCTCAATGTGGAAGTCTCTGCCTCTTGATCTGTTTTCTTCGTGTTCACTTCTTGATTTAGTTGTCTTACATGCTTTACTGCACTTCTGACCATCCTCCTAAGGAGATTGCTAGCATTTGGCCTTGATCCAACCTTCAGCTTCTCTGTATCTTCCCAGCTTCTGCCTACCTGACCTTGTCTTTACCTCTGCTTCTCAACTGACTGCCGTATATCCACCTTCCTGGCTAAATGGTCCTCCTTAGAGCTGTCCTTTCTAAAATTTGCCTTTGAATTTTTCTCATTCTTCCAGTCCTTCCTGTGTGCCCTGGTTCCATAATCCATTGTCTCCCCTATCCCCTTTGCTAGGCAATCAGTATATTATTCTATCTGTTCAAACTTTGCTGGTGCTCTCAAGTTCACTATGGTAGTTTTAAAGCATAACTCCAGAACTCCTTGACGCATTGAGGGTTAGGAGCTATATCCATTCTTGAATCTCTGGAGCTTTGTGATTGCTTGGCCAGCAGAAATGACACTGCTCATTTCTGGATCCAAACCTTCAAAAACAGCCTCACCTCCTATCTTGAATAGCTCACCCTTGGACTGACCATCATGCTGAGAACAGGCTTAAACTGTATGTGTAATGGAACTGAGGGCTTTGACAGCTTTCAGCTGAGCCAGCACCAACCTGATAGCCCCGTGAAATTGGATCCTCCCACCCCCAGTGACACCATGTGGGAGGATGCGCTGATCGCACTAAGCCCTGCTCAAAGTTCGGGTTTGTGGACAAAGTAAATGACTCAAGTAATAACAGCGAGGGGTATAGTTTAGTGTGAAGTCTCTGGTCAGTTCCCCCAGTGCCACAAAAGAAAAAGGAAAGTGTTCATTCATCCACATCTTTATTAGTAGTGATCCAGTTTAGACTACTAAGACTCAAAGCTATCTTAGAACCTAGCTATAGTGGGAGTGTAGACTGATGAAACCACTGGAAATCAGTGTGGAGATTCCTCACAAAACTAGGATTAGAGGTTCCACTTAACCCAGCTATTCCCCTTCTGGGACTTTTTCCAGAAAAACTGAAAACATCATACCACAACAATATATGTACACCCATATTTATAGCAGCACAATTTGTCATAGCGAAATCTTGGAAACAACCCAAATGCCCATCAATGGAGGACTGGATAAAAAATGTGGTATTTTTATACAATGCAGTATTACTCAGCTATAAAGAAAGATAAACTCGAGACTTTTATAGGTAAGTGGATGCGACTAGAGACCATACTTATAAGTGAAGTAAATCAGACTCACATGTATAAACATCATATTGTCTCCCTAGTGTAAGAACCTAAAAGAGTAAAACCCAAAAGGTACAATAGATATTGTGAAAGGGAAAGAAATTGCTCAGAGGGAAGGACAACTGGGATGAGGAAAAGGAGAAAAAGAAAGAAGGGGGGAAAAATATATATATATATGTATATACAAGGATAGCTGGGATAATTGTACTGTTGATGTCTATTGGTTTATTGAAAAGAACAGTTAATGCTTAAATTTTTTGACCCATTTTGCATGCTTATATCTGCTAATCTGAACAACTAATTTGAGGACAACGATATGCAATAGAACAACTGTTGGTGAATTCCTACCATCTTGTTTGTGAAGTTCTGTATCATTTCTATTTTTTTATTACTTTTTATTCTCTTTGATCCATCTTGCATTCTTACATCTAGTAATCTGAGCAACTTCGTTGAAGATAACAATATTTAATATAACAACCATTGTTAGTTTCTATCATCTTGGTATGAAATTCTGTACCGTTTTTATTGTTTTTGTGGGGTTTTTTGTCTTTGTTATTATTTTTTTTCTCCTTAAAATAAAAACAGAACCTAACTATAAATTCATGCCTTCAGTTTCTTCTCTTACCCATATTCTGAATCACTACAGATCTTCCTTACTCTGAAACTCACCCTAACTTTACTCTGCCAGAGGAAATCTGCCCATCACAATGCGGTACTGACAATACTGAGCTGCCCTGGTTTTCTGAGAGGATGAAAATGGCAAGATATCCTCATGGTTTCTGCTTTCTGAAAACAGAGTAAATGAAATTCTTCCTTTTGATTTTGAAGAAGTAAAAAGCAAGAGATATAAACTATACAGACACCTCAGACACCGGTAAAAACCTGGTAGGAGTGTACGGTCTTGTTCCAGCAGGTGCATAGGACAGCGCCTGGTCGCACGGCCGCTGTTTGGTCAGCCCCTCCTAGCCTTTGCAGACACCGTTCAGCTCCACGGTTTCACATCCATTAGCTCACATGATCGCCACAACCACCTGGGGGGGTACAGCAGGGGTAAAGTATGTCAGTTTTATTCTGTCTGTTTTATGAAAATGGAAACTAGGAAACAGAAAAAGACACATCACAGAGCTAGTTTGTCTCTAAGGCTTAACTACAGTTTTTTCTCCACTCCATCCATCTCCAGCAGCTGAGACCGGGTCCTGATGCTGAGATCCGAAGGCGCATACACCTGCGCCGCAGCAGAAGCAGCTAGCCAATGAGATGCCCGCATCCGGGAGGCGGCCGGGTAAGCAGCCAATGACAGAATCCTCCCCAGGAGAGATGTAACTAATGAGGGCCTTGTGCTTGGGAAGGACGGCTGCTCGACCAATGAGAGGCCATGACCGTCCTGGGAGGCGAAACTGCCAGTGAGGCGCGAGGGCGGGGCGGGGAGCAGAGCGCCAACCCGAGAGCTCCGGAGCCCCAGCGCGCTGCCCGGATCGCTGCCCGCCATGGCCCGCGCTGTCCCGCTCCTCGCGGCGCTGGCCGCGCTCCTCGCTGTGGCCGCTGCAGGCGGAGACGCCCCGCCCGGCAAAATCGGTGCGGGAAGGACGTGGTGGGGGTGCTGAGCCGGGGAGGGTTGGGCGGGAAAAGGATTCGCAGCCGGCAGCAGCTGGCTGAGGACAAGGGAGGGCAGCTGGACGAGGGAGGAGTCCTCTGAAAAGGGGCTGGGTGGAGGACAGGCGGAGGCTGGGGCTGGGGCCGGGGCCGGGCGAGGCGGGGACCGCATGGGGAAGGTGCTGATGGGGAGGGTGACATGGGCATGCGAGAGGGCCACCAGGGACGGCAGAGGCCTGGCTGGGCAGGACTGGCCACTGATCTCAGGAAGATGCAGGGTCACTGGGCATCTAGCGTGGACTTGGCTCTCCGCCAGGTGCGCCCGAATGGCAGAGAAGAGGAGCTGGGCGACGTGTTCACAAAGGTCTGTCGAGGGCCTGTGTGTGGCAGAATAGCGCTCCAGTTCCTGCTTAGAGCCAAGACTTCAACACGCCCAGTCCGTTCTAGCGCGGAGGCAGTATGGTGCGGTTCGCGGAGAAAGGGCGCCTCCCCCAGGTTTGACCAGCTCAAGGAGGGCTTCCTGGGATGAACTTCGAACTTCTGGTCGACCCGAGGCAGCTCCACCGAGACCCATCAGTGTCTGCTAGAGACTTTAAATGCTGAGGTTTGAACCAAGGACGTCCCACATGCTAGATAAATGCGCTACCGCTGAACTACATCCCCAGCCCAAGTGAGAAACTCCTAATAGCTATCATAATGTCTTTATTATTTGAAATGATTTATTTGTTAGTGTGATTTTTTTTCCAGTACTGTATTTTGAAAATTTTTCAAGCATACAGCAAAGTTGAAAGAATTTTACAGTGATCATTCCCATCACTAGATTCTCCCGTTCGCTGCTATTCTGCTTGCTTTGTCACATAGCAGTGATACATCTTTCTGGCCATCCACGAGTACTTTTACATTTGATGCACTTCAAAATATATTGCAGATATCAGGAAGTCTCAGTAAATACTTCGATCACGCTTGTCATTGACTAGAGCTCCATATTTTCTCGTAGTTGCTTCCCCTACCTCTTAATAATTGTTATTTTAACTCCATGACTCAAAGATTTTCAAGTCCCTTACATATAAACTTAACACAAGCAGAGATGCTGGGCTTCCAATGTGGGAGGCAGAGTCCCAACTCCTAGGCTGCTCTCCACACACCCCAGTTGGCAGGAGCACCTTGGGACATGTCATGGGAAGCCCCAGACTTGTCATGGCCAGTGCAGTGCTAAATCTTATTACGCAAGAAAACTGTGGCCAGCCCACAAAGGGCTAAGACAGGCTGTAATGTGCCAGAAATCAGTTTGGAACTGCGAGTTCATGGCAGAGACAGTCCTGGGGCCAGAATGGGCAGAAAAGTCCTCACAGAGGTTTTTGTGCCAGCTTAGAAGGATGGAGAAGTTAGGCAGTGTCCAGGAGTGTAAAATACTCTCCTTCCCGCTGGGGGTGGGCAGTAAGATAGGACAAAATGGACAGAATGGGCTGGGGGTGGGCAGTAGGATACGACAGAATGGGCAGTAGGATAGGCCAGAATGGGCAGAAAAGTCCTCGCAGAGGTTTTTGAGCCAGCTTAGAAGGATGGAGAAGTTAGGCAGTGTCCAGGAGTGTAAAATACTCTCCTTCCCGCTGGGGGTGGGCAGTAGGATAGGACAGTGTCCCAAGGACCTTTGGGAAAGGGGTCGGGCCTCCCTCTAGCAGGCCTGTCTGGCAGTGTGGCATGTACTGCCTCCTCATTCCAGCTGACCTGTCCACCTCACCCTGAGCCACAGGGCAGCGCACATGCAATGCCAAATTAGCTTTAGCTTCCCTGG